GTTGCTGCTCTTTTTGTAGCTCTTTTATAATTGTAAAAACTCCTACATGAGATTGACCAACCAAGTATTCCCATCGTCGATGCCAGGCTTCTGCTACATTTTGTATTCGAGGAATTCCTAATTCTATTGAATCATATACTAACCATAATTGTGGTAAAAAGAGAGGAGCTGCACGAATAATATTACCATCTCTCAATTGGCGCCTAATTCTTCCATGCACATAATTATGCTCAAACTATAGTACTACTTCATTTGCCTCTGAAGGCATTTCTTGCTTCAATATATTAAATGCTTCTAGAATTTTGTGCGATGATAAAAATGCTAAAGAAAATATATGGCGTAACATTATACTGAAATGCTCATCATTGCCATATCGAACTGCCAATCCACAAGATTGTATTTTTCGCCAGCTACTTTGTCCTAAGTGAAAAAAAAACCTTTATTACTAGCATTAGAAAACTCTCTACTTGAAGCATTAATTGCTGCTTGTTCAAAGTCAGTAATAATTCTCAAAGGTTGTAATTGAATACCAATTTCTCCAGCAAAATTAACTAATTCTTCAAATAGAGTTTATAAAGCCCTTCAGACTTACTAGTCATTAATGCATAAACTAGTGGAAGAATTCTGGAATTATCTTGTGCACCAACAGGTGCATATATAGTATATAGCTGATAAAAGATTGTTTTGAAAGTTCCATCCCTCATCCAAAAAAATGCATGAGATAAGCGTTGAATGTTAGCTTTTGTAGTAAATAAAAGAAGTTATTCTTTGTCAACGTTACAATTTCTTATTAAAAATAGATCACCATCCAAAGTAAATTGAAGTGAGTCTGGAATATTAATATCATCAATATTTTGTGGTTCTGTTGGCATTTCTGCTTTTCTAATATGTTTAATTGTTGCACGAAATGCATTACGTGATAGCATATAAGGATAGATCTCATTCAAAATATTAATAGCAGTATTTGAATAATTTGTGCAGGTTTATAACTAGTTTCAAAAGCTTGTTTTTTAATTTGACCAATAGCTTTTGCTACAACTGAATCACTAGCTTGAGGTGAGTGATGATGTTCACTAAATTTTTTAAGATAATGTGAACCATTAATAAATTTAGTTATTGCTCGACCTTTACAATTTTCTAGCTTCGTTTTTCCACAAACACAATAAAATGTATTCTTAAGTGCTTTATCCTTTAGCATTAGATAGCCACGAACATTAATCTTAATATTTCCTTTTTGTAATGGAACTAATTCACAAATTTCTTTCATTTTTTAAAGTAGGTTTCATGATTAAAAAAGCAAGAAAATATATTTGCGGGAAGTCAGTAAGAAAGAAGTGGTGAAGAATCAGATGCTGAGAATAACAAGGCTATATTTAAAAAAAGCTTAGCAATCAAACTTTTACAAATATGATACATGAAACGTATTGTATCACATGCATTACATGCATCACAAAACTCGTGTTTCTTAGAGATATTGTGAACATTATTATATATTTTGTCAAATATAAAAATTATAAAACGATAATATATAAATTAGGAGGATTCAATAAAGGAATAATAGAAATTACATAATTTATGAAATCAGGAGAATCTCACGAAGTTGTATTTATAATTAATTTTAAAACTTATTAAACTAAACAATTTAATCAATATTTTATTGTTATATTTTAATAAATGATTACGGAAAAACTGGGAAAATAGATTTTGCGGAATACCGTAATCAACGAAATCTCGTGATTTCAGAAAATGTGATTAAATCACACTTCGGGATTATATTATTTCGGGATTTCATAAATTTCTAAATATTGATAATTTCGGGAAACTGTATTTTTCGGTAAAACGTGATCATCGGGATTTCATCATTTCGGAAAAACGTTATATTCGGGAAATAGTAATTTCGAAAATCTGATGTTCGGATATATATCGTTTCGGGATTTTGAGTTTCGGCATTTAATATGGAACCCGATATGATATTTATGTATTTTAATAAATTTGAAAGATCTTGATGCTATCAAGAACCCGTCCGAAAAACAATTTGGAAATTGATAATATCGTTGTTTGTAACGAATTACCAGTTGAACGTAATCTACAGGACAACTTGTTTGTATGGTTACTGGAAAAATTTATTTTCCAAATAATGCAAGCACTTCTCAATTTAATTCTTGGTATAATGGAAATTTTTCATAAAGGTAATGTTGAAGGAAAATTACCCAGTCGCGATGAATTCCTTGATGAAAATCAAGCTTATGTAATAATCTTTTGAAACATTTATATAATTCATTATTTATAATTTTATAATAGGATACAAATGTATATGATCCTATTATTAACGCTTATGTCACTAAACAAACTCCTTTAAATTTTGAAATGGTTACTCTGCAATCAATTTTAAGATTTCTCAATTATTATGAAAAATCTGATCTGATGATCTTATGTATATATGGTATGGACCATTCATTTAATGAGGGAGGAGAAAAACCGGTACGGTACTTTCCATTATTGTACCATATCGGTTTTCTATAAACCCCGATTTTCTATATACTAGGATCGTCAAAGCGTTCTTAATAAAAAAAATTTTTCAAAAAAAAAAAAAAAAAATCTTAATAAAAATTAAATAAATCGAGGGAAGAAAATCAGTACGAACCGTTTGATCAATACGGTACAAAATATATGATTGTACCGTACTGGTCTCAATAATACTTAAATCCGCAAAGCGGTAAATCTACAGCCTAAAAATTTTACCGTCATTCTTTTCATAGGGATTGTATATCATCTGATGCAGAGATTTATGGAATTTATTGCTTTATGTCGTACCAGAAAATTTCTTTGTTATTATTAAGTGAATTCTTAACAGGAGAAGGTTTTTTGTAATCGAGAATATGTTATATTGAATTTTACGTCTAATTGTTATAAATCTAATGCAAGAAAGTTGGTATTTTTTAATCAACATCTGTTGATATCCAATCAATAATCATTTAATTTTTATCGTTTAGAAATTTGTAATTCACACGTTATAATGTGCCTATTGAATAAACAATCACAGTTCTATCTATAAAAGTAAACCTTTAAGATCTGTGAGTCGAGTCTACAAGAAGTTTAACAAATCAAAGCTTATTTTAAAGTTCGTAAATCGTTTACTTTATAATTTTTTAAAATAGTTATATTCATAGACAAAAATAGAAAAGTTAAATCCAATGAAAATAATGGATCATTTTTTATTGTTTTTATATTTCATATAATATAATTAAAATTTATGCTTTTTGTTGATAAAATACGTAATAGATTAAATTTCTCAAGTACTACTTCCCATTGTATACGTTCAAAAGATAAATAAATGTCATATTTCACTCAATGTTAACATTAATACTAAACTAGTTTGATGTGGTTTCTTTTAACTGTTTACTATATTCATTATTCTGTATATGATATAATATTTTACTTGGATTGAGAGAAAAGGCCTACTTATTATTTAATTGACGCTGCTGCCTGAATTGATCAAACCTAAAAGAAAAAAACAAAAGAAAAAAATTGAACAAAAAAGAGAAACCTAAAAGTGAGAATTAAACTTTTCACATTGGTAAACAAAAGAAAAATAACAAAAATTTATACTTAAAAATAAATAAATAAATTAAAATACGTACGTTAGATTAAGCCAAAAACAGAAAAAAATTTTCAAAAAAATAAAATGACAATTATTAAAAATGAACAAATAACATTAGAAGAAAAGTAGTATAGCAATATTATAGAATTCAAGTTTATAAAATTGATATCTTTAAATTTTGATGATTTAATATTTATTCAATTTCTTTATTTTACCCATTTGAATCATCTACTTATATAGCTAATAACACATTTGGAAATTTTGTGGAATGTACAATGTGTAATAAAAAAACTAGATATATTTGTTTTGCTCTATGAAAAATTTAATACATATGCTTGCAAGCCGAACGAACAATATTACTTAACAGCATACGATAACATATATTATTATTTTTATATATTGTACCTTTTAAAAAAAAATATTTTTATAATAATTAAAAAAAAAAGCGTGTGATTATAGTTAAAATCCTTAATTAAAAAATTAAAAATTATGAAATAATGTAAAAATAAATCAAATGGTCATAAATTATTTTACTACAAGCGAAATCCCACCATTTTATACTCAATTAGGAACTTCACGAGAAAATTTGGCCGATTAACTAAGATAGATTTTGGGACGCAATGCCCCGAAAATAATAGAAACGGGATATTGCTATTAAAATCACCTTATGGATCATATGAATTACTATGTTCCGTAACTCAATTTTAATAGCATTTGGTTAGACCGGTTACTTAAAGGAAAAGAAAGAATTTTTTTTTTTTGAATTGACTTTTACAATTATATTTTTTTAGGTTTATAGATTTTTATAATTAATTTAATTATATATACTGTATATATTCTTTAATAATTCTTTTCAGTGGAGATTACTTTAGTTTCGTTTTTATTATTTAATAAGTTCTTTCCAATCAATTCCTCTACCTTGGGTAAGAGAATCTTTCATTTTTTTTCATTCATTTTTATTTTTAATTACAGTTTCGATAGCTTCGGTGTAGAGTTCGAATATCTTGGAATTTTGCATTTTTCTTTTTTTTAAATTTGTTCTTATTTCCGCAAGAAAAGAGGTGTTATGTTTATTTTTTTTTAATCTTTTCTTTTAGTTTCAGGTTCGATCTTATTTCTATTGGTTCCGTAAGAAATTAATAAGCAAAGCAAATATTTATATATTTTTTTTGTTATTTTTTTAGTTTTGAGTTCAATCACTTCAGAGCGCATAGCAAAAATATTTTAGAATTCTTCATTCTTTTCTTTTCAATTTCAGGTTGAGCCGCTTTTGCAAGTATTATAATGAGAAAACTTTTATACTTTGGGGTTCGATCGGATCCCTACGGGGCGTCGTAAACGAATATTTATTAATTCTATTTTGCACACCTTAAAATAAACAAATAAAAGAGTGTATCTAATTGGCCAAATACATCTTCTTCAGACATCCAATCAATTTAGTTACACAAATTTGTTATTTAATTTCGAATTTAAATCTTAATAAATACAATTACTTTTTTAATCTTGCATGTTGTGTTGATGGTGTAATGAAGTCGCGACTGTTGTGTTCCTAAAACTTCCTTAGTACATTATTATTATCTACCCAAACTTAAATAATCAATGATCAAAAAAATGCGAAAATACGCAGTTTTAGAACGCGAAAATTTCTAACAAAAAAAATTTTAAAAGAACCTTTCTTAGAAGTGAAATTTCTATATTTTAAATCAAATTTAAAAAAAAAATATATTTCATTTGTTCTAAAAGACAATTTTATTAACAATGAAAAGAAAATTAAAATATACCTATTTCTTTAAGAATCTAATTTTGAGATTTGATTCAAAAGAATATAATACATAAAGAAAAAAAAGAAAAAAAAATCAACTTATTCATAAACAATAAAAAAATTTTTAAGATAATTCAAAAATAGAATCAATCCATTTGCTTTAACTTATTCGTCTAAGATATTTCTAATAATATAATCTAACGTCACAATCTGAAAGGTCACATTCGTTTTCTATTAGTCATTTTCATTAAAATCAAAATGACTTTAGAATAAATTCTATTAAGTTCGAAATTTACTTGAACAATATCTGGTCTTTCGTCTGGTTCAAGCTTCTAACATCCTATATAAAAGTAAATTTATAGATTGTAGTAAAAAAATTAAACAATAACAAAAGTAAAAATGAAAAATTTCTTTTATAAATCTTAATAAATCTACCATTTGTTGTTGGAATAGGTTTTTCTCTTACGCCTTCAAGGATTTCAAACCGAATTGCAATATCGACAGTTGTTTCAAAATTGAAAGGTGATGCACAACTAGTCAATTCTCAGAACAATACTCCTAAGCTATAAATATCAGATTTTTTGGATAATTTAAAAGTTTTGGGCTCCATGTAAGGTATCACACCACATGGTGCCTTGGTATCTGATCCTTGTAGACATGCTATATTTATTACACCTTTATGGATCAAGATATTATTGGAATGCTAAAAATGGATAAATAAAAAATATAAAATTAAAATAATATAAGTAAATAGGAAATGGAATCCTTTCTGGGTGTGAAGAAAAAATATTTTTATAGCCAGCTATTCTTGTGAGAAAAACCCGTGACTACAAATTTTTCATAGTGCGTATAATTACAGTAATTAACTTACAAGATCACGATGTATAATTTCATTGTCGTGTAACCATAAAATCGCACTGGCAAATTCCTATAAACCGCAGCATAACCTCCAGAATCAATTTTAGAAATATCTTTAAAATCTTGAGATTCATGATAAGGAATGTAACATCCTTGTAGATTTACAGAAGAAACTTTAAAGTCGTATAAAAGTTTGATCAATTTTGGTGTCACAAGATGTTGCTGCATATATGACAGAATGTCGTCAAATTTCAGTTTCTTATACTTTAAATTAAAATATATTGAATAAAGATATCTTAAAACCAATCAAAATAAATAAAGGAGTTCAATCAATTTCAGGATGACTAATATTTAATGATACAATTGATACAATTGAAGTAAAAAATAGATAGAAGTACAAAACATAACCTAGAAATTTGAACCTTTCCTACCTAACATAAATATGTAATTTTATTATACAAATTTTGTTTTCTAACACTATATGGGGCCTTTGCAATAGAAAGGGGGGAAACTGCCGGGAAAAATCAATTTTACTTTATATGCCAAATATGATTTT